CTAGGACTCGGAAGTAATCTAACCCTGAAGAAATGCCAAAGTGTGTATAGTAAACATACAAATTAGTGTGCTGCTGCACTACAGTACAACTGCAGTATGCGAAGACTTAGGTGACTTCAAAGTTATAGCATGTAGAAATGTTACTGGGCAGATTTCACAAAATGCAATTTCAAAGGCTACATAAGTGAGTGCATGGGGTGGCAATACAAGATGCATGGACGCATGTGTGGTTTCCATAATCTGGCGCCTACGACACAGACGCAAGCTGCGATTGTCACATACTGCTACATTATGGAAAAACCACAAAAACAAGCTAAAAGTCTTACATTTGTTTTATTTTATGAATTCCAAATAGGAGCTAAATTACTCTGCCAAGCCCAAAAAACTGTGAAAAGATGAAACTAAACTTAGCCTCAAAATGGCTACCACCTGCTGCTGCTTAATTATCAGTTCAGAGTTTCAAAATCATAACTGCCACCTCTTACGCTGCTCACACTTGATTTGAATGGCTTAAAGCAGATGTCCTCGCTCTTGTTACTTTGTAACTAGGAGCACAAAGAGAACTCCAAATGGAGCTCCGACTCTTGTTTGGTGCCAATATTACAAAGTCTGAATGTGAAGGAGAGACTGTGTGGGCTCACACTCCACTACTCAATTTCACCACTGGTTGGCTTTTATCTTGTCACATCTTGCTTTCTGCCACTTCTGTGATGTTTTTTTTAATTTGTGTTTGTGTGTGTGTGTGTGTGTGTGTGTGTGTGTGTGTGTGTGTGTGTGTGTATGTGTGTGTGTGTGTGTGTGTGTGTGTGTGTGTGTGTGTGTGTGTTAATACAATATACTAGATCATGCTTCTCCATTGGCATAAACTGTTCATTCCTAAAAGCTGTCAATTATTCTCTAACAGGAAAGAGATACAGGATTTGTATGAACACCTGTACCCTATGGTGTGATGGATACAGCTCACTATAGAGTGTGGTATAATGATAACTTATAAAACAACTTGGCATAAAATCTGCAATTTCTTAACAAGTAGTATCAACACATGTATTTGTATTTCTAAAGGAGATTTGAGCTGTATTGTCCATAATGTTTTCTGCATACAAACAAAAAATGTAGTTACCAAAGAATACAATTTATGTGAATCAATTGTTTTGTTGGTTAGAAAAAAAGCAAACAAGAAACCAAAAAAGGAGAAGCTCCAAGCACATAACTGTAAAAGTAAGTGCCGAACAAAAAACAATGTGCAGGGTACAAACAAAACCATGCATATACATGAGTACACACATACAGATACAGTATAAATGTCTATGAATATATTAGAAATGAACAGGCCCAAACTTCATTCCCTGCAAGTAACTTCTGAAAAGTTCTCCTCTACATCCTGCAGTTGTGTTCAGACGTGCTGGACGTGAGTGCTGAAGAGCAGTCATGTAGAAAGAGAATGCTGTTACTGGAGTTATTAACAGGCTCCTGTGTTTCCCCCCACCCTCTCAGCTGAGCTATTCAGAGCATAGCGTTCCTCATCTGCCACAAACACACGCAGACAGGCGAACACAGCAGACAGACACATCGTGCACTCCCTCTACGTGTTGTGCAGTAATATGTTTTTTGCCCATTTACAACAAATTAAGTTTCCCTCAAAGTGAATTTCAAGCTTGGTTGCCTTTGGAGGGCAAGCGACTCTTTTTTTTTTTCATTAATTTTCATTCTTTTCCCTTGAACAAATGATTTACTGTATAGCTTGCTCTGCGTTGCTCTGCATTGCTCTGCACTCACAGTTCTTTTCATTCTCTTGTTTTCTCCCC